TACACCTTGTTCAGACTAGATGGCTATATCCGGAAACGAATCGATGGCACCAGAAAGTGCCAAAAGCGCACGCGGCAAACCGTGGAAAACAAGATATATACCTATGCATCCTCAAGCATAATAGATGGCATTCCACCCATTCACAGAGTAGACTTGCGCCATCTTCTGCAAAGAACACTGATATAAGTCGTTGATTTTTGTAGACAACCTCTCTGTTAAATTCCAACTGTTTTTCATGTTCTTCTCTTTGAACTGTCTTTCTCTCTCCTTCTTTCATATTCTATCTCTCTCTCTCTCTCTCCTTCTCTTCCTTTCTCCTTTGCTATCCATTCCTTAATGTCTCCTTTCCCTCTCCTTGGATGCCTTTCTCTTCTTTCCTTTCCTTCATTCACTTCGCCTTTCTCTATCCTTCCCTTGCCTTTCCCTTCACCTTTCCCTTTCCTTGCACTTGCACTTGAAACAGTAACAGTGAAAAGGGGTCGGCGGCACCCGGGCGAAGCCCTTACAATATGATCTTCCCACCCCATCCAATATTCATCATCCACCACCTCACGTGTCCAGAGAACCACCGCAATTTCCAAAGACGCATATTAGTAAAGCGTCACATGAGACGCATTCATGCGGCTCCATGCATTTTAAAAGGTTTTTGTTTGGAAGCTTTGTGGATCTATATATATATATATCGATTAAGGGTATATATCGTGAATACAGAATACATATATATATATATTATATATATATCAATGATCGAATTTATTACCTGCTTAATCCGGGCAAGGAGAAGATTGAATCGATTTCTTTGCGCCTAGATCTGAGGATATATCTCAGGCATAAATCGATCCAACCATTGTTATTTGACAAACAATGGCAGCATATTCATTGCATTGTATTGTTTAAACCACAACCTCATTCATTAATGGTAGCAAATCTGGGAAATGATAGAGATTATGGCATTTCATGCAATCATAAATGGCAGAATATTGGCACTCATGCCTATGGAATCCTGTTCTAAATATCTGTCCTTCTGGGTTTTATATGGTTTTTATTTACTAGCCATTTTTCCAGTTATACCAATATGCTAGAATAGGATCCTAGAACAGGATCCCTACCTGCAATACCTAATTCGATCCAGAATTTGAACACTAAGGATTACGATATTTTCAATTTTCAATTTAGGTGAGACAATTCCAAGTTCTGCTTCTTCAGCCAGATCAATTTTAGATCAACTTGGACAAAGTATATTTGCTGTACAAAGGAGCCCGGAGCATATTTTCCCGTTTGGGCATGATCATGCTGCCATGCATCCAGCCTTCTCACTTTTGGATTCTGTCAGATGCGAGAGAACAACATCCAAATAACTTACAGTAGTGTTTTGATATTAAAGGACTTGAACGTCCTGCTCAGTGGGCACGAATTCTTCCTTAATGGTTTGTCCGAGTTTTTCTGCAGCTGGGAAAACATGGACTCTGAAAGCAAGCAGCGAGAAAGCCAGGATCAATTGAGGCTCCGGACCAGAGTGCCCAGCTGTCCAAGATACACAGAAGTGCAAAAAGAACAGCTATTAGGTTAGAGGCCATTGCTTCTAGGTTGGAGGCCATCGCTATTGTGTTGGAGACCATTGCTAGTAACAGCTGCTAGTAGGTATTGAAGCATCTCCGCCGTCTTGTGTCGACATGGAAAAGCTACGCCCAAACCTTTGGAGCACAGCGACTTTGTGGGTGGTGGTCCGCATCCCGGACGTTTGGACACTCGCACGGCTACGTCGGAAGAAAGGCTGACTTTGGCCCATCACCTCCGTTGGAAAGCAACGGAAGTTTGCTGGCTTAGCTGGGTGACCCAGGAAGGTGCATTGCGTGCACAAACCATGAAAGAATGGATCGTACCGCGAAAAAAAATCATCCGATCAACATATATAACATAGACATACACTAACATACTATATTTCCGTGCATGTCCCTTCCATAGATGACACAAAAGAACCTTTTCATGACACAGTCAGTTTGAGGATATGTTTGACTCCCTCGCGAAACGGACTATATATGTTTTGCTCCTTTGTGGCGCAGCCTTAACCAAATTAACCCCTCGGGACAATCCCTGGTGCGAAACAAGAACTCCCAAAGGCGGCGCACTGTCAGCACACCATGCGCTACAAGTGCGTAGGCTGGACTTCTCTGTATGTTGACCGTCTGAAATTGTGCAGACAAAATTGCTACGCCAAGGTGACAACAGTGATATTATGCTATGTTTATGATCAACATCACATTCAGCTAACCCAGCTGAGACATTGAAACAAAACTCCTAGAATGACTACATCTCATGGCAATCTTTGTGTCCTGCGGCCTCCAGAACCACTTCCACAGATTTGGGTTCTTGATCAAGGAGGCCTGACCTGGCAAGAATTGATTCACCCTCCCTCTGTTGGCTGTGGCACAACATGGCACAACGACCTTGTGTTCTTCACATTGATATCTCCCAAACATCTTGGTATGTAAGTTGATGGAACGAAATGAACCTGGGGAAATGCGACTGCGATTCCATCAAAAGCTCTGCAAAGTCAACAAATAACCAACACCAGTTATATAATATAAAGGGTTCCGAGTAGAAAACACCAGCAGTGCAATACTCCCGCCACTATGCCTGCCATGGAAGCTACAAGCCATATCTCTTCACCGACGCTGGTGCAGTCCTAAGCAGGCCAGCAGTAGAAACTGACGGTGTTGGCTCTGTATGAATGCCAGTCACACAGACATGTCATATGTCTCCTGAATCACGACAGTGAGCAAGAGTTCTGCGACTGTTCCGAAACCATACGGGCTCTCTGGAAAGAATGTCTTTCCAACTTACAGCTTTGTTCGTGGATTGTGGTTGCCGTCCATGTCATTTGAGGGCAGTCGCATGATTCATCAAACTTCAATATCCTGTGCAACACCATGCCACTGGAGACCATACAAGTTCACTTGAGGTGAGGCAAGTGAGATCAATTCTAGTCAACTTCATTGATACAGAACTGGTACAATTCATCTGGACCAATCCGGCGCCCCAGATTTCTTGAGTCGACAAGTCTCTTCGGCAAGTCCATGTGAAAGTTGAGCTTTTTCATCTGCCCCGCTGGCCCGCGGTCAGTGTGTGTCATGCACCTCGAAGAAGGGAAAATTGCAGGTGTACCAAAAGCAGTTGAAAACAAAACCACTCCTTAGAGTGGATTATGTATATATGGAAGTATAGAGAGAGAGGGGTTTCCATGGTCCATTAGAGTCTAGGGTGACTACGAGGACCTTTTAGTAGATGAAGCCACTTGTTCTGCCGTCTTCGAAACCGTTTTAGGCACCTTCCAAGAGGTTTTAGGCGCCCATAGTGGCTTGTAGTTCAGATTTGAGCATTGTAACGTATGCACGCACCTCACTCTGACAGGATCTACCCATCTGCCCGGAAACTCAGGCGGAAACCTAAGAAAATAACAAGAACGTCGTTTCCAACAAGTATCCGTGTTCATCCGTTGTCCTGCAAGTCTTCAAGAGCAATGCAAAACCAGGGGCGTATGGACATCTACTACGCAATGGAAGCATATGACTGCGGCAGTAGTAGTACATGTGTTGTCGTCGTCTCAGGTGTTGGCCACATGTGGTCACCACTGCTACCCAACAGCTTCCTCTCAGACCCAGGGCTGTCCATGACGCCCAGTGGCATGGCCATCTTCTGTGCTGTCTCTCGTGAGGCCTTTCCAAAGGCACAGGTCCCAGAGCTCTTGGACGTGGAGACCACCTGGACCCGTTGCGATCTTGGATGGGGTTGAACTCGGCCATGTGGGAGGGGCCGATCTTGGTCCTTGGAGAAGTGTACGAAGTTTTTCTTTTCGTACCGAACCTTCAATCCAAAATATCAAAGTGTCCTTGATCGAACAAAGGTGTGCTGTGCTGTGTCCCCTTTGGATGCTCCAGACTTGATCAGTGAAATTGGAGGTGCAATGGCAATGAATAGCAGAACATACATGCACACATTTTTGTAAGACAGTAGCATGCTTGTTGCATCTTGTGTATAATAATAGGTCCATGATGGTTTATGTGAGTTGAAGCGTCCCAGCCGGCCCTGTTCGTGACTGATGTCGGTGGGCCATCGTCTTCAGAACTTTGCTGGAAATCCGGAAGCATGCAAAAATCACTGAACATAGGCGAGGAAAACAGATTAGGAGCCTCCTCCCAGGGGTCCACAGCCCCTCCCACAATCTTCTCATCTTCAGATGTTTACGATTCGCATTGATAGATCCGCAGGTCCCTTTTCTCCGCCTGTCTTCCCAAAGAGCTGAAGGCCGGAGCAGTATCCAAATAGGGTCCTGACAAGTCGGATGAAATTTTTCCAGGCGGATCCGAACATTTGGCCTATTAAGGATAGTCTTCCTGATCTGCTCCACACACACAGCCACCTTCATCCATAAAACCACAGGCCCCCTGACCGTTCTTTACCTGAACTGTGATGGGTAGCTCCGCATCAGGGTTTGGTCCTGGTATCCACCATATTAGAACTCTACAAACAAAGAGATAAGTTTGACAAGAGGTTTGATGCTGCAATGCAGGACCTCCAGGCATGTGGCACAAAGCCTTCCCTGCAGGTAGGTGGCTAAGGTAGGCAACATCAATATGTCCGATGGTGTCGATCTTTCTACCCAGCTCTAAGGCTCCACGCCCAGGTCAGCGCTGGACCTGTCTCTCTCTCTCTCTCTCTTTCTCACTCTGTCTGTCCGGTATTTACCAAGAAGACATAGAAATAATTACTAGAACACACCAGGAATCACGGCACCTGACCGTACATGTCGCATCAACAGCAGAACACATATCATATGACTATATTATGACAAGTCCAAACATCTCTCCTTGCTGGAAGAACAGCCAACACTTCTGTGATGTACTGAAGAAACAAAGAGACAACATGATCTGGCAAACGAAGTGTACGGCAACAGTACTCGACTGCACCCATTGCAACACAATGAAACCATTGGACAAAGTAAGGTTGACGAAGACATCCTATTGCTGTTGGTCTGTCCAACACCTCATAAATGAATTCAGTCATCAGGTATGGTGAAGTATAGTGGTTGTTGCTGGATGATACTGCTGGTCACTCGAAGAGCGGCACCCAGGCACCAAGAGCTGCCTAGTGTGCGCTAGTGGGTAGCTTCATGTAGCTTCCTTTTCTTGGGAGGTTGCACAAAGCAAACAAACACAAAAAGCCTGCGCTGAGAAATTGCACAAAATCACCCTCTCTTCTATGCATATTGTGAAATGCTCCCTTGTCTTGCAACACCCATCTCACACAAGGCCCCGCACATGTCCAGCTTCTGGCCACTTAGAGACCAGGCCGGCGAGCTCCGTCGGGCCTCAAGTCGGCTGGGCTGAGAAACTGAGTTAAGCCATTGGATTTCGCGACTGAACCCCCCGCCCAAAAGAATGGTGACCCCATATACATGGAAAATGGTTGGCACAACACATGGGCAAATGCAGTAAATGGCAACTGGCATGAGTTGACAAAGCATTGATTGGTTTTTGTGTTTTTCTTTAACTGTTTGATATCTTTTTGATATGTCTTGGTCAGCGGAGTTTTCGGCCTTCCCATGCCCAAAAAATGTTGGAAAATGGTGTCAGTAGACAACCTCAAGTCACAAGCTGTATCACCAGTCGATATTGATCAGCTGGTGAATATATATATATTTATATCATTAATTACATATATAATATTATAAAATTATCCCATTTCACTTGGACTTCTCATTTGCGCCTTTCCAACGGTTACAACAAATCCCGAGAACTGAAAGAGTAACAGGCCACAAGATGCCACAAGATTGGATTGAACGCCTCATTTCAGATCTTGTTGTCCTTACACTTCCTGCTACCATTGTGAGCCTAGTTAGTAGTATCAGTATGAGTCTAGTTGTGTGGATTCCGCTATAGGCTCCTGGCTGATAAAGGCTGCTGCCCGATCCCACTGGGCATTCGATGGGAATTGGGGCCCACGGTCCTGGACGAAATCGAAAGGGATTCTCCAAGGAAGCTGCATCCGCCCTCATTGAAGCCTAGTAGCTACTGAGTCCGCAGCCTAGTTTGGCTACTCAAGCTACATACTGAGCTCTTGCCCCTTACTACATTCACGGCTTAACCCCCCACAAAAGGAAACACCTGTTCTGGTGAAGGCGAACTTTCCAAGGAATTCTGACATTCTGACTTTGCACATCTGTCCTTTGGATTCCTTTGGTTCGTTTCAAGTTGAATGCAACATTGAAGGACCAACTTTGCGCACTGAGCACACTTTTGTTGGCCATGACGAAAGATTGATTGCAGCATGTGCAGTAGCAACAGGCACACTTAGTTCTACTCTGTTGATGTAGACATCTGCGCCTACAACTGTTTCAAGAATAAGGTCAGTCGGGTCAACCTTGTTGTCTTCAAATCCTCCCACCCTGCGGTGCCAATAAGAGACGCTTCTTTTCGCATCTTCCCATCAAGCCATATCAAACCGCGGTGGCCTTCAACCATCCGTGGTGAAAAGCGTCGCAACAGGATCTTGCCAAGAACCAATGGCTGAGGCTTTGGGGAGGACTGAATCAGTTTACCAGTTCTTTGTTCCCTGCCCAGCTCTTGGATTTGTTTTGAGCCCACTTTGCCAACACGTCCTCTTGAAATATCGCTGGCGTATTCTTTCAAGGTAAAGTCAACATCCCGATAAAAGACTCCAAGCTCAAGCATTACAGCGGTTCTGCTCCACCGGCAGCAAGCCACACCTGTAAGGTTACAATCTCATCGAAAATGATGATCACTTGGAACGAACTGATTCACAGTGTCTGAGAGAACCAGCATGAAACAAACACAAAATATTGATTCCAAAAGGACAAGAAACTCCGATCACCAGCTCTGAAATTCTGTTTCACTGGCAATATAGCTGACAACAATGGACATGTTTTGCAAATAGACGTGAAACCTACCCACAAAAAACGTCCGGAACCAAACACTTCTGATTCACTCAAAATGGAATGCTCAGGAGGCTCAGAATGAATACTCAAGGCTGATCTCTGTTAAAACTCATTAACAAGACGAGCATTACGGTATAAGCTCTCAAAGCAAAACAAGCATGTACCTGTTGCAATTCTAACCACCAGTGTAGCTTTCTCAAGCTCCGCACAACTGCAGGGTCAACGGTATCAAATACCTGGATATGATGCATCTCTCAAGTACGTGTCATGGCTGTCCAGAATAGATCAACTCAGTCCATCTGAGGCTAAAAATAGAAAATCAACACCACTACGATTTGCTCGCTACATCAAATCATATCAGATCGCCACTGCCACTACCACCAATAGTTGATGATGATGATGATGATGGTTAATGGTCATTGAATAGGATCTGCGAATCTGCGACACGCGTATCCTGCTGGTCGGCAAACATACCAGTGAGACGGGGCTAGATGGTAAAGTACTGGACCATACGAGACGGCTTAGCCGTTCTCGCTTGGTGGTCCACACTGACCTGCGAAAAGCATTTAGTCGGAAAATGTCGGAAACAATATATCTGCTACTGATCGTCTCGTTTGTAGACGTTGTGAAACAGCTTATCAGCACATATATAATCTAAACCCGACACATATGTTTCGATCCATGAAGATTATGACAACTGACAAGAAAAGGCCAGGCTGTTTTGCATTGACATCTAGGGAAGAATTGCCAGATCACAGCCCAAGGAACCCGCCAAACACGGGCGTTTGGGCGTTTAGCTTCTCTTCTCCAGCTTCGACCTTGCATGAAGTCGCTTCGACCTCACTGGTCGCTCAGTCTGGATGCGCGGACTTGGCTGGGCCGGCCGTGCAAGTGCTCGAGATGCTGCAGGGCCATCCCAGCGACGGCTCGCGACTTCCTCACGGGCGTCTGTTGCCTGCAGTTGTTCTGAGGCGATGTCCGGAATGAACCAGAGTGAGTCAAGAACCAACCACCAACTACAATCTACATTGCATGGACATCCAGGTACCAAGGCAGCCTTTACTGGGTGGCTGTGCAAAAAAAGGGCAGCCATAGTTATATAGGTGAACCATCATTGTGAACCTGAATGGATGTGAAACTTGGATTCGTCCACACGTTCCTTTGGACGAGCTTCTCTTGCTGTGCTTTCACATACTCCTCGGGAAAAATGTGCCGAAGGAACTCAGTGGAATCAAGGCTGCCACTCTGGTCCTCAGTGCCATCAGCATGAACGCAACCAGAAACAAAACATGTAGAAACCACCAGGAGTGGGTTGAGCTAAGCCGTGAGGCGTGGCTAAACATACATTTAGGATCATCTATGCCTATACCCAAACAAACATGGGCCATGGGCTTCGGTGTTAGTAGCCAGTCAATGACTTCAATAGAACTCTTCAGGACATCATACTCAGTCGTTGACTCTTTTGAAGCTCAGGCTAGCGGGTATGCGTTGCCAGTGGTCTTGCCTTTCACGCTTGTCATTCTGGCCGTTGAATCTGTGGGCAGGGAGCTGCTTCAAGGGGAAAGCAATTGATGGGATAGTATTTTACGTATCGAACATGTTTTATAGTAATTAGATGCAATTAGCAAAATCGTGATTGGAGATTCTGCGGCTGACATGCTTTCAAGCTTCATCATCAAAGAGGCTGAATATGTTGAAGGCACTCTCAACGCTGATGCCTTGGCAGGCTCTTGATCAAGGGATTTCGTCCAACCTTTCGCAACAGACATAAAGTCTTCATCGTACATATTCATTTCGGCAACACTGGGGTTCTCTACTAATGTTGAGAGCCCCATCTTTCGTCCCTGGCGGGTGCAACTACTGTAAGAGGTTGTCAGATTCTTGCAAATCTGGAGAATCATCGACTACCCACGGGGTTCAATATTCAGCTTGTCTCAGAAGCACACAATCAATAATGCTAGATTTGTGCATGTGTCAAAACCTTTGGCACCGGCAAACCCTTGTTCCCATTGTGGTGACACGGGGTCCATGGTGGATCGTTACGACTTTACCAAGATCTGGCAGAGCGCTCCGCACGGATTGCCGGATCGTCCGAGTCTCCGATTCGCATCTGCCGGATCAGCTCGATGAACTCACTGAGGTTCAACGAACCGTCCCCGTTCACATCCACATAATCCTCGCTACTAGGAGCGATCGGACGCTACTAGGGGCTCCTGGCCTTACTACTAGGAGCAAGGACGCTACTACAATTCAGGTCTCATGTTGTCAGATGTATCCTTTCACATGGGAGTTACTTTCGACATCTGAGGCTTTCAACATCTTGAGTGAAGGTGTACAAAGATTTGGCTAGGAGATGCTACAACAGAAAAGCTTCTTAAAAAAAAGAAAACACACACACACACACGACAACAACATAAACATACGTCAAGATTTCAGTTGTTTTCAGTTTTACAATTAGCTTCTTTGGTCAAATGACCCAAGGTACAAGTAGGTTCCAAGGGTCACTGCTCACCCGGATCACACTGCCCTTGCTACTAGTAACTTCTAGCTACTAGTAGTGATGGCCTCCAACCTAATAGCGATGGCCTCCAACCTAGTAGCTTCTTGTTACTAGTAGTAATGAGTAATGCCCTTGTGACAAATTTTCAATTTGGCCAAGAATCGAAAAGGACCTTGACATCCTTGGCCGAATAGCCCCACTTCTCCAGGCATTTCCGCACTTTCGTGATGAGGAGCACTTTGTGCCGGCTATTCCAAGAGGCCGTAAACTCCTCGGGGCCGAGTGATTTCATCTGCAAATGGGACGTCTTGAATGTTTGACAATATAGAGACCTGTTTTCCTGTTGTGCATCAGTCCATCAAAACAGTACTTTTGACTCGGGCCCACATGTGGCTCATTTTGGCTCCCTTTAGCCAACAAAAAAGCTTAACACACCTCGCCAAGCGAGGTACTATCCTTCAAGACGAACAAAAAACTTCGCATTTGAACACACCCCCACACTCGAATAACGAGTACCAACACATCACACTTGAATAAAGAGGACCCACAAGTTCAGGGCCAACAGCAGTACGGCCCACTGCAACCGAAACACATGGCCGATGATGCCCACGGGCAGAGCCAAGAATAAGACGCTCACAAAGGTTAGGAAGGAGACCACCAGGTAGCCAGCCAGGGTCTCCTATAGGAGAACCAATCACAAGGGTCTCTTCTACCCGTCATCAAAGGAGTTAAGAAGGTTTCCGGTCAAACAGGTCAAAGGGTCTCTTCGGTACGCATCCTGAGCGAATAGCTGAAGAGTTCGACCATACGGTTGTGGCAGCTTTGCATTGTCAATGCCAATCCAGAAGGTATGACAATGCCATATATTGGATCCATTTGGCAGACTCTAGATGCTGTATTTGAAAGTAGCTGAATATATATATATACTGTATATGTTTCTTCTCAATTACAATGAAGCCCATACATCATGAATAAGATTCTTCGATTGTAGATGCGTTGCCATGGCTTTGCGTTAAGAAAAAGCTTTGGGAGCCGAACAAAAAGCTTTCTTTTAAGAGTCTTAAGTTGCACAAAACAAAGAATTTATCATGTGTACTGTAAATCTGTAAATATATATATATTTATGCATGTATTATATGTAGTGAAACTGTAGAGAATCTCTAGGGTCTGGATCGTCAAGCCACGGATGTCAGAGTCCCTCAGAGTGCCCGGTCGCGGAATAGGACCGATACAATGATCATCAATGATCTATATAATAGCATCGAAACCATGTAACAAAAACCATGTAGAAACCAAAAACATCCAAGAATCATATTTTAACTATATGGTATTACGGGGTCCTCCTCCGTTTTCATAAGACTTGTAGGTCATGGTCTTCCTACGTCGCATAGGGAGGTGGAACACCGACCTCTCTGATCTCTCGGACCCACCGGACCACGCAGCTGCTCCGGAAAGAAGTCGCCGTAGCCCACACTGGTCATGGTGACGATGGCCAACCACATGGCATGCTGCAAAGACGGGATGTTTCGGCGCTCCTGAAAGGAGATTTAAGCTCGGGGTCAAAGAAATACACACTACACAAACTAGATAACAGTCAGTTTTAACTATTACTCTTTGCATGACAGAATCTCCATAAACAACTTGGCACGAATGGTGTGTCATCCAGGTATGAAAGGATCTACAAAGCATCGTGTCTTGTTGCATGTGTCAATGGCCCCCCAACCGCTACAACCATCTCCACGGACGATAAAGTGGCAGGAAGTCCTCGGCAAGGTAGATCAAAGTGGCGCCCACGAGCGCGATCAAGGACATGATATAGGCCAGCACCGGCAAGGACTCCGCAGAGTTCTTGAAGGCATCCTTTCACGTCTTTGTCCAGAACTGGGGCACAATGACAATGACTCAGAAAAACCAGTCGCGGGTTTTGCAACAAGTCCATTGAGGTCGGAGACACACTTCTTGCTGTGATCGTGCACCGTATATATAGAAGTGAATGTTGCCCAGATGTCAGATGTTGAGGATAAAACACGAGGCCGAAGACAAGAAGTACATCGGCGTTGAGGTCAACTTTCAAGAGATGAGTTGGTGGAACATGGTGGAACTGTCTTTGCCCCTGACCTACTACTAAGTTGGGACATTCTCGCTGTAAATCAAACTGCCAAAGTCACAGGTTATCCCGAATGGATTTCTGATATGTTCTGCTCAACTCACGCACAAAAAAAAAAACTTGACCACTTGACATTACACTTGTCCGCTTCGCACCCATTCCATCAGGCACTTCAAACTTCCTCAGCCCTTGGATATGAAAAAAGCTGGACGGTACTCCGGCAAATCAAACAGGGAAATCCAGGCGTCAATCAGCAGCCGGAAGACTTCGAAGTATCCTGAGTGAATTTGGACAGGCCAAGCAGGCCACTTCGAGGACTTTGGCTTCTGTTCTCAAGCAAAGCATGCAACCTGTGTATCTTTGCGGAAAAGAATACCGACGAAACAAATGTTTCTTATATGTTTCTCTCTCTCTCTCTCTAATGATTTTGACTCCAAAGAGCCTCCAAGATTGCTCTCCGAATCTCTCCGACAACGCCATCCCATCCCGCAATAAACCAAAGCCCTTCACGCATGGGCAGGGGGCGCGGGGGTGTTTGCCGGGACATCAGGTGAGGCTCAGTCAAACTTCCCCCATCTCCATCTAGGGTTTACAAATGACCAGTGACTAGCACCATAAACATCCGCTGTGTATCAATTGGGTTTTGAAGTGTATCAACGAAATTTAGTCATCACTTCAACATAAAGACATCCAACAGAAATGACACTTCTTCACCCACCAAGATATACCAAGATGGATGGACTCTTGGACAATCATACAACCCTTTTTTCTGAAAACTGCAACTCGATCACTCAGTCCCCTTGGATTTTAAGACAAACTTTCAGGTCCGAGCATCGCAGGAGCTTCAAAAAACCTGGGCGTCATTGCACGGCACGGCTCCTTTCGGAGAAATACAACAACATGTTTTAAAAAATCTGATGATTGTCAGTAATATTCATATTATATATTCAGTAATCATCCCAATCCTCCGAGATATGGCACTTAAAAAAACTGATTTCCGGGCATCAGATCAAACACAACTCGGAACAGCATGGAACAACACTCTAGGAACCAAATGAAGCGTGAGCTATCCTGCGTCCAGTGCTTAGGTAAGGTACTAGCTATATACCTCTCCCTTATTACTTAACTAAGTAGGCACTTCCTTTATCAAAGTAGGGGGAGTGGGCAAAAGAGAAACACGAGATGAACAAAGCAAAAAACTGAAGATCCCAACATGCCTCAACGTTGCGTCAGGGAACGCACCAGTGGAACTGCAAACTTGAGGATTACGTGAACGGCATCCTCCGCAGGGCTTACTGGGGAAGACTCCAATACCTCAGTGCCCCCAACGAGGTCACAAATGGTCGGACGGTGCAAGCATGAGCCTAGTGCACTCGACGGAATCAGCTCTACTAGCTTCTTGTTACTAGTAAGTAACTTAGTAGGAATGGCCTCCACCCTAGTAGGGATGGCCTCCACCTAGTAGCGTCCTGCTACTAGTAGCAAATAGCTACTACTGCTCCAAACAAGGGAAAAATCGAAGATCCGTACTTGTTACATCTTGTTACTGCTGAAAGCTGCGAGGGGAACTGAGTCAAGTGTAGCCGTCCTGATTTTGAGCAGCAACCCTTGCTATGTCCGTGCACCAAACAACAATTAGACCTTAAATGCCTTGTCTCGGCGATTCACCAGAAGCATGCGGTTGTGCCCAAGTGGCAAAGCCTGTAGAGATTCGCAGAGGCAGCGCCAAAACGGTGAGCATATCTGCCCAATTGAAAGGATCGAGGAAGTATGTTCCTCACTTTGGGGAAGTGTGGATGCGTTTGGATGAGAACTGAGATTGTGAAGCGGTTGAGATCAGTGGAGATGCTGCACTACCAAGGTTCTTGTTAGCAGGTGAGTTTCAGTGCACTCAGCAAGTGCAAGCAAAGCCAACAAGCTGGTATCCTCTCAAAATGATCGCTCTTTCGTGCATCTTCCAGCCTGCTGTTTTGGCCAAGGGACTCTTGTACGGTGAAGAGATAACACGTGCAAGAAACCTTGGTGGATCGTGACGCACAGCGAACCCTGTCAAACGCTTGGCAGCCCTACAAGGTTGTGAAATGGCCTGCTCCACCTTGAATGAAGGGTCTGGACCTAGGAGAACGGTTGTACAAGCCAAACACACCATCCATAAACCCTACATTATACCCAGAGCGGAAAATACACTCTGTGTGACCAAAATGCATCAACTTTGACTGAAAAAAGGATGGCCCAATTCACTTAAGAAACTGACCAAAGACATACAAAGGCGCTTCAATCGTGTGGTGACATTCTTTCTTCAGCTCTGAAGCAACTCCGGTGAAGCTCAAAAGCAACACTCCAAATAGCCTAGCCCTAGCCCTAGCCCTATCTATCTGCCGGTGCCCACCGGTCGTTGCTTTTGCAAGCAGCTCTGCCACGAAGAGCACATCCACGGAGGTTTCCCAAACAGCGGTGGCCACGGGGTCCATGATTTGCTCCTCGCTCACGTCTCGGGAACGGTAGAGAGGTGGAAGTCCACAAGTCACACACCTATGGGCCTACGGGGCTAGGATCCAAGGAAGAACTCATGCACCAGTTTGTTGGAGCAATGCCCCATCATACACAAGTAAGCCCGGTTGTGCACTCCAAACAACTTGCAAACACAAACAAAGTGTTTGGACTTTCAGCAGGAAATTGGTTGTGGCTCTTTGGATCAGCCCAGTTCCCGCCGAATTACCCCACCAAGGAAGACTACATACCATTTCGTCTCCAGATGTCTCTAGTTTGCCCACCTCAGTGTTTTGGAGCAAGGAGAGGAGCAAGGAGACCACGACCACCGTGCGGAGGAACAGGCAGGCCCACCTTGGCGCTCAGAATCGGGACTTTCAAAGCCTCCTGAATCACTCAGCTCTAGAACCATCACACGTAGGGATCTCAAAGCAACTATGTAAACAACTGTCTTGTGTTTTTGTATCAATTATCCTGCACTACTATTGTACCACAACATGTCCAATCGCAACTGCTGTAGTTAAACTTAGGTTTGTATTGAACCCTTACAAAAGAGGCATCGCATCTATTTGCATGATCCTGTAGATCTCTTCCGTGGCCTTTGTGCTGATCCAGAAGCTACAGGCATTCCTTGCACATCCCATGCTCAGAGGTAGTTGGACCCTCCAAACCCAAAACACCCCCCCGGGTCCCCGACGACTTTCTCAGAGGTAGGTGGGTCCCCAGGTGATCGAAATCTGTGAGTGACGAACCTTTGGGGTAGTGACGAAGCTTAAATACCCTGGTATATGAGTGTGTATGCGTATAAGTACAGTATACAGTATATTATATTTCATGTCAGGCGGCTATGACTGCCTCTTGAGTTGTGTCGCTCCAAACTGCAACGACTGGATTCAGGGGTTGCGAGAACTGGCACCGCTGCATCACTTCAAATCAGGAATTATTTCCAGCTGAGCGGACAGACTTGCTAGACCCTAAAGCCTCAGTCTGTCTAACCTACTCTAAATGGTCCCAACAGAACTCCTGGCCCACACTCAAAACATAGCTGCAAATCTATTAACACGTCCAAGCCACCATGCGCCTCTGCTCGAATCTTGATCATCCAAGAACTCCCACACAATCTCAAGCGTTGAGCGCTCCACCAATCGCATCATAGGAGTCAATTCCACTCCCGGATCCATCTGTGTGATCTTCTTCCTCAAAGGACACAGGCGGCAAACCTAATTATTCAAGCAAACCTCATGTAAAAAAAACTCATTAGTGTATATCTTGATATATTCTTTTTGCCTTCTCTACGAGCTCGGCTGAAGAGACCATAAACTCCAGTAGTGGGCGGCACTTCCGGGTAGTCTTTTGCGACATGGACTTCTTTTTTAGAAGTAAGCCGCCAGCCGCCAGCTGGATCGCTTTCGCATCAAGGGGTGGATCTCATCTGTGACAATCACCATTCTAGTTCATGGGTTTCTTTGTTCTACTCGCAGTCATGTCATAGGCTGCGATGGGGGTTCATCCAGCACACCTGGCAAGTCCCTGAAAACACTGGAACTTGGAGTATGGGTTCGGCGAGTTGAAGATTGCACCTGTTGCACCGATGATGGACATGAATCACCAGCATCAGGGCTCTTGCCATTGGTTCTCCCTCTCATTTCTCTCTAGTCCATGGTCAAGACCAATGGGGACCATGCGATCGGTGGGTTCTGTCTCTGGTTGGGCCACTCAAATTTGAAAGGCTTCTGCAGGGGAGTAATGGGAGTTAAGGCGATGTCCTAACAATAGGCAAACACCAATCATTGATTCATCATCACCGTTGCTGATCCTTCTGAACCTCCGCCACAGCTGGACGACTATACTACTGAAGAACCAACAACTCTGCTGCGCATATAAATGCACAAAGCCCTCGCGGGCTGTACTTGAATCTACTTGAAGTATCTTGAAGCTGTCAAGACTGAGGATGACTTGTCTAGGGACCAGGCATTCCAGCATCAAACGCAGGGTTGTTTCGGGTTATTAGTTTAAATAACCGGAAAACCACTAGCTTCCTGGGTTGAGCAATACAACAAACTTTCAACCCACGGAAACCTTACAACCTGTGAACATCTGCGAACCATTGCAGACCGCCTCTTTCTCCTCCTTCCTGGAGCTCCTAGGTCCTAGGTTGGAGGCCATCGCTAATAGGTTCCTTTTTGCTGTTAGGTTGGAGGCAGGGGGCGGAGCGGGCTTTCAAAAAAGAACATGCGCAAACCGCCTCCAGCTCCTTCCTCAACCTCCGTGCCAAGCGTCGCTTGGAGTTTCCATGCCACATGCAGGTCCACCCCACCAGCGACGATGGCTGCTCGACCCGCTCTGTGGACTGGTGAGTTCCCTCCACCATTGACCTGATGTGAGCTTTTGAAACTTCTCAAAGGTATATAGTTTATTTTTATTCAGTCGAAATTGGTTTACCGTTGGGGGTAATGTAGGACCTCCTTGTCCTGACACACTTGCTTCCTTGGAACGATCTTCAGGGAGGGTCCAACTAGCGAACCTACACACAAGGGTTTGTATATAATAACTATGATGTAGGACAGGCCTGGGATTTGTCCATGCCGATCTATAAGCACATCAAAACACTGATATGCAATTTCTCTATGCTGCGCTCACCATCTAGTCTGGGAATGGATCAGGAACATTCAGGAACCTTATCCCAACTTGGGAATCCACACATTTATTGTAGATTCAGATCATAAGTCATAAGCTCTTTCGAGCATGCTTTGTATGTGTCGCGGTGGAATATTCCATAGTCGTTCCAAGTCTGAGACCATCTGCGGTATGCCCAGGTGCAGGGTTGCGTATGTTGCTGTCAAACGAAGTAAGACCTCTCGTGTCTGGTTGTCGGTTTCTGTGCCGTACTTGCCCTGTGCCAGCCACACGTAATTCCCCAACCTTCTGAGGCCCTGTTTCCGAGGCCCTGATGCGATCACGTTCCCAGTTGAAGTTGAAAACTTGATTTGTTATATATATATAATTCTAATTGCTTCTTGCTACTAGTAGTAAGGCCAGGAGCCCCTAGTAGCGTCCTTGCTCCTAGTAGCGATGCCCTTTTCTCCTAGTAGCTTCTTGCTTCTAATGCAAATGCAAGTGACTTGTTCTTCTTTCTCCGAACCTGATGCAGGTGGTGAGGAGTTCTTTGATGCACTCGAAGGCCACTCTGATTGGCGGGCGAAGCCTGTGTCTCTCTTGGGATCCTTCGTTGGCCACTCCGATTGCCGGTTGATGCCAGTCTCTCTCTTTGGATCCTTCCTGAGACAGTGCTAGATGGTGCGGGGAAACCAAAGCACATAGAGCACATGCGGTTGGGGTCTATGTCGGATTTTGGAAGGTGATCTGAGATGTTCTTCATGCTGCCAAACAGAAAAACTTCTGAACCATTCTCAGTTGTGGATCAACAAAATCCGTGGAAAATCTGCTCAGTTCCTTTAGAAGACCCATCGCATGATTGAAATTGATCGAACCTTGTGAGCCTTGTGACTTGGGTGTAGGTCAACAATCTGTAGAATCCTTATCCAAATCTGTAGGTTTTCGGCTCTGGCCAAATAGAACAACAAAACACAACAAAACCAAGCAACATCTAGTTGCACAAACTCTCAAAACAACATCGAAGCCTGTGTTTTCAGGTGTTTGCAGCGTCGTTCTGGGACACATCCTCCATGAATGTCCCGATTCCGGTGCGTTCAGAAAGACATGTTGTTTCGCGTCAATGAGAACACAATTTCAACACTAAGTACCTTGAAGATCCAACGGATCTTCGGGTGGATGTGTGTTTTGCCACACTTTCGCGTGCTTTCAGGCAGCTGTTTTGCCAAAAGGAAGACGGTGTGTGGCAGAAGTCGTTCTGTGTTCTTTGTTTGTAACGGATGTAGTCAGTTAGAAAAGCTTGGTCCATTAAGAAGAGACCTGTTTGATAAATAAGCTAACGAACCTCATATTGTCCGACTGCACAATGATCAAAGCAGCGAAAATGCACACCCCCATACAAAGTCCCAAGCACAGTGGACTTGCGATGAACAAGAAAAAACAAGATGGCGCAGGCGGAGACTCAAGGACTCTGAAGTTAAAATAAACCCAATTAGGGCCGTTGAGGAACTCAATAGCAGTTTATAATCTCTTACAGTAGGGAGATGGCGACCGGTCAGGAACATGTTCACTTCTTGATGCTTTGTATTGACTGTTGAGTGACCTATGGGTCGTGTTTGAAAGGTGGAGTTGTGGTACTCCGGTCACACCTGTGTGTGTTTTGTCCCACCCAACCCGCCCTGTGACACTGTGCATGGGAGGGGTGTCGCGCATGGGCGATCGGGGGTCAGGCATTGCTATAGCCCAATGGGGCATCATGTATGCAAATGCAGGTCTCCCCTAAATAATGTTCATTTACCACCCTGTTTACCAGCTTCGGCTGTCACTATGCAAATAAAAGTGCGTTGGGATGCTAGACTAGAGGGTCAACCCTGAAGGAATGGGTTTCTGGTGTTGTCCACTTTTGTGAGTGACCTGTAAGAAACCAAAAGATTGGTGCTTACAGTGTTTTTATGCTTCTCCATGAATTCAAAGACGACGCCGAGATGAACAACTGCTGATCATAAATGTTGCTCTTTTGCAACATCTGCACTACATGTTCGGTTTTTGCCCCCTATAGGCAAACGCATCGGGGGCGTCTTTCAATGAAGATAAACTAGGTTTAACTACACGAGTTTCCCTAAACATCTGGGAACCAAATGCACAGTGCAAGCGCCAGCTATCCTGCGTTCAGTGACTAGAAGCTAGTTCTCCCTTACTTAATTGATCTTAATTAATTTAATAGCTAACATTGTTACTACTAGTAAGGCACCTGTTACTACTAGCGAGGCACTTGTTACTAGTAACAAGAATGGCCTTGGATCCAAGCGTCGTTGGCCACTCGCTGGCCCGCGCACCGTTCGTCCCGTCCTCTGAGACAGCGCTGTCGTAGGTTTCCGTCTCCTGCCTCTCGGGGATGGCCGTCTGCCTCAAACAGAGCTGCGCTGCGAAGCACTGCGGAGCCGCTATTGGCACTGCACACTGGAACAGCTTGGTTTGGAGAAGCCAACATGTCGCGGGGTGGCCAAAATGCCACAGGCATGGGAGTTTGTACTTCTTACTTGCGTCAGTGGATGTTTGAAAGGAGTATATAGCCTGATTTTAAGAAAGTCTTTTCTGTAGATGAGTAATGATGAGTGATGAGTGTGCCTTGCTCGGGACAAGGGGGATCCAGCAGTCCGACTCTCAACACGGAAAACACATAAGAAAACGCTGACCATGCACCATGTGTTGAGAATTCTGTGGCACACACACACAAACACGCCATATCATAGTCCTTGCTGAGATGAAGACACATAAAGCTTGGCTTAGATGAGAAGAAAATAGAAGAAACAGCAGCAGGACCCACATTTGTGACTCAAGTCTACAAGCCTCTCCAAAAAGGCTGGTGGCTAAAGCTGAATATTACTTTAGCATTCTTTAGCATGCCAAGTGAGTTCAACAAAGAAGAGAGCTGGAGCGCCTTAAACAAACCCAAACACATCCAACCCTTGCGATTGATCTCAAGTCTCAGTCCCCAATCTCCCCAATGTTCAAGGACTTTGATGGCATCCAGCCCAAGTTCATGAAATTCATCTCCATGTGGCCGCAAGGAAGGCTCCGAATCAGGGAAGTTGCCCCAACTGACCTTGCTCTTCTTGCTGCCCTTCTTGGCACCTTGTGTACGTGGTGTCCACCGGTGGGCTTGCGGCTGCTGATCCACTACAATAACAACTTTGATTTATGGAACATATCGGGTTCGACCTATCTGAACAGTATCTGTTCCTCGTCAGTTGCATCTTTGCCACCATCGCTGAAGGGACCAACTGGAACATGATAGATGTGCTAGTATATGTTCAAGCAAGCCCAATCTAAAACATTTTAAACCATATATGTCATTTGTCAAATGAGTCAGCATAGCCTAGGGAAGTCAGTATATACAATTACACTGTCACATCACTCTTTTGGTCAATGATGAACATAGGACTCGTCGCACAGGAAGTGTCCATGACTGTTCAATGATGAGAAATCAGGGGTTGTTCGTCAAGAACAGCCATTGGTGTATTTGAGTCATACACAACACAAAAGGGCACATATATATATATATATATCCGCGAAGCAGCCTATATAGAGATTAATCCATGCAGCAGCCTACAACATCTGCAATGTTGGATTTGCACTTGCTCCAGTGGGCCCCTTATAAGCTTTATCGTGCTATTTCACTTGTGGGCATATTGATCAGTGTGCCCTGGATGCACATATCAGGTGTGTCAAGCGTTATTCCGTATACAGCAGTATATATTATGTCTTTGGAGACACCGGCAACTTTCTCGGGCACAACTCCCAAATCACCCTGCTTTGGAGTGCAAACCCACAAACGAAAAACACAACACCTTTGCGCAATATCAGAATTCTTGTCGAGCTTTCGTCGAGATCGCTTCAGCAAAGGCACCAAATAGATTCTCCGACTCCTTCCCGGCCATGGATTTCACGTTCCTCGGGCAAAGCGCACCGACCCAAAACAAGTGACTCTGGGAGAGCAGGACTGTCCGGTCTAAGTGCCTCAACAGCGGGCATGACTCGTATATGCCGTACCAAACAAGCATTGGGGCTGGCTCTCTATGAAGAGGCAATTGAAGGGAGGATTCCAACAAAACTGCATCGTTTTGTGTGCCCAAAGCAGCCCAAGTAAATCAGCAACAACGCGCAGTCTCTGACCCTAATTATTGAGGCGTCTAAGATATCCTGGAAGAGTTTCTTCAAGGTCGTTATGTAGTGGGTGGCAAAGAAGTGACCATCATCTGCCTTCGGGTTGGGTTCACCCTGCACCACACACTCTGTCTGTCCCAAAGCCAGAAAGGAATTGGATGAGATCGGGAGATTTTGCTGCTTGGAATGATAATCTATATTGCTACCAGAAATCCACTTGCCGAAATCTAATCTGCGAGTCGGTGACCAAAGTCAAAAGTACGGTTCTGGAAGGCTACCTCTTCTTGTCTATAGATGGCACCAATCAACAAGCCACCGGACACCAAACTGGAGGTGACTGCCTAGAGGTTCAGCTGACGGGCTCCTTACGGATGGATTTAGAGGGATTTTGGTGGCCTCCAACCTACTAGCGATGGCCTCCAAATCCATCTACGTCAGTTTCACATCCTGGATTGGATTTGTGGCATGGATGCAGTGGATGCAAGGTAGTGCTGCAGCAAATGCTTCATCTCAAGAGCTTCTCCCTGGTTTTCATCTCCCCGGTGTGAGACGAGTCGCAGGATCTCTGTCAAACACACATCCACCTGCGATAGTTGCGGTCCCAAAGCTTTGGCGGTTCTGTTCGCTTCAAAGAGCTGGCCATTTCCCGCTTCCACCACGAATGCTGCTGACATCAAAACAATAATCAACCACTTTCTTTCTTGATAAGGCTTTCGAGAAGGAGTGTTGCTGGAGGGCTGAACCTCCTGCGATGGCAACATGTGCTAAGCCTGTTAAGTCACGGAAATGGACGGAAAATCACTCTATGTCGCTGGTGGCGTCTATGTTTGCCTACAGCGAGCCATTTGTTTCACTTGTTGGACCTTCCTATCATTCCCCCAAGAAGGGTTGGACAATGCATAGCTGCATAACGTCTTGAGTCATCTGCTAGTGTCAATTATTAACAAATATGAACAGGCTTCGAATCCCTCTGGTCTCTGAGGAGGTGAAGGACTCATTCCACTAAAACGGGGACCTATATAGAAGAAGTTAAACGAAAAAGGGTAAGGTTCAGGATGGTTGAGGACAGCCTGATTAAAGGTACCTTTACTTTCTTTTGTCCTTTTCTTTAATTATTGTATATATATATTATATAACTAACTACATGCTGCCACCGTACGAACCACTGGGTACTTGGGATCATCTTCGAGTCTCGAGGCAGCCCAAAGCCCTCAGCGCCTTGTGGAGAAGCAGCTCCAGCTGCGATTGGACACCGGGATTGGATCCAGCCGGTGGAGCCGGGCCCGAAGGAACGTCCATCTTCTGCTGGGAGATCTCCTCCAACTCTTTCTGGGTCATCTCATGGTTCACCTCAACAGCTGTCCAGCGAGTCTGACATGGAGAAACCGGTGAAGTTGGGAAATCTCCCGGAAGTTGGATCAACATTCTCAGGGATCTCCATCCAGGAGTCAGGAGTTAGAGAAGACCAGTGATCTCTTATTCTGACCAGGGATCACTTCAACTCTTCATGCAAAACAACCAGAACCTGGGCAGCACCAATGCGAAGGAATGGAGCAAACAAAGCTTAGATGTTTGCCTTCACAACAATAAACCTACGCTGCGAGGCTGGGGACAAAACATCCACAGAACCCAATTTTCCTCCAGTAGGCTTAAGCATACAGCATGGCTATTAAGCGTTGAGTAACTACAACCATAACAAGTTTATCAGGTGCCAGGTTTGTTGTCACATGATCTTTCAGGAAGCAACTCCAAAAATGTGAAATCACACCTGCCAGACTCCTGGTGCTTGGTTCTCTTCATCTCAGCGTTTGCACATCTGTCTGTTACGAGTGGCCAGTCCCGGGATCATCGGTGGTGCTTTGGGCGACTTGGGTGACTTGGGCGACGCCATCGCGGCCATGCCGCTGACACGATCGCGCAAGCCGCGGTCGAGCCGATGGGCTGAAGGAGGTGGGCGACGTGCTGGGAGCGCGTTGAAAGGTAGAATCGTCGATCTTATCATGTGAAGATTGTGGTGTTGTTCTCTGCCCGGAGCAATGTGCGCTACTAGGGGCTCCGGCCTCGCTACTAGGAGCAAGGACGCTCTTAGGGGCTCCTGGCCTTGCTACTAATGAGTAGCATTCTTACTACTAGGAACAAGGAGCTACTATATATTCCTTGCCGAATTGCACCATTCTTGCAAGTGGGCAGGACAAATCCTGGAAGGTGAGGATGTTTCCTCCAACATTGGGATGTGAAGTCCCGATCGATGCATGGAGTCTTCAACAATCGCTGTTGGCTTCAAAAGCTGTCTTGGACCTGATGCAAAAAGACTTGGAGGTATTAAACCTTTCTGGGTGAGTCTAGGCGAGCAGGCATGTCCAGTGTAACTAGAAGTGCGGCTGACTAGAGGGCTGGGACTTGGCTTTCTAGACTCAAACAATTGTCCACGACTATCATCTGTTTTGTCCAAAAGCCTCAGGCCTTGATGGTCATGCCGCCTGTGCTAAGGAGCTAAGGAGCTAATTTAATTGTATCCAATTGATCTAATTGTCACTCGAAGAAGTGCCCAGGGCACTTCTCCACCCTTTAAATGGCAATCTGGGGGTCTCTGCTTCCATTGGTCTGGGGAAGTTCATGTGTTCATAATAGAGAAAGTGTTGCTCGGCCAAGGCACATTGAGATCTCTAGCGAATTGAACTCAGCAACGAGCCACTCCAACAATGAGCCTTTGGAGGACTAAATCCCACCTCATGTCTGGCGTCTAATTGCTGTGATTGATGAGAACACTGCTTCGGCCCGTCTTCCCTGCCTGGGCGTTCCACTTGGAGGCAATGACATGCGACTGGTGGGCTTCATGTGCTGCCATCTCTCCTGAATCGAGGATGGTTCACAATGAACCCAACATTGTCCTCTTCTGCAGTCCAGCGGTTTTTAACTTTTAACCTTATCTGTCTCTCTCTTTCTCACTCTCTGACAATTGCTCGTTCAGGATGGATTTTAGGTCTGAGACACGAACGAGCCCACACTTGAGTGACTCTTAGTTCTAGTTATATAAGAATAGTTGAGACTTCGAGCCCACCTTTCCAAAGACGGGATTGTCCTAAAATAAACTCTCGGCAACCTGGGAAACCTAAAACTCCTGCGCGACTCCAACAAATCACCGCCTTCAAAGCAAACCTATTTTGGAGCCACAGCGACACCAAAAAGAAACAAACCCCACTTGGTCAATGGACTTAAAGGGGCGTGCCTTTTTCACAACAACGCAAAAACGGGAGTTGCAATGCAACTAAGAAAGCTGAAATCCAGGTTTGTGCCAAAGAATTCGGCCTTGCTCTTCAATGGTCCTGCCAAACCAATCTTTCTGATCTGTACAGGTCCATGTTTCATCAAAGCGATGCCAACCTTCGGTTCCTGGACCCCAATGCTTTGCAGCTGACATAAGTTTTGCGATCTTCTTTGGATCTGCTCCTTTTTGACCAGCAGCATGTCCATGAGTCATGGCCAAGAAGTTCATGGAGGACGGAGCGAACTGCTCACCCAGAAAACGGTCTTGAAGAAGAACCTCAACGCAAAGTTCATCAATGATCGCCATTTGTTCCTGCAAAGCTGCGCCAAGTGGTTGCCTTCGCCTCGCCGTCACCGTCACACCATTCTCGGCTTCCTGGTGGAACTCCAGGCTGTGTACACCACTACAGCCACCCGGTGGCGCATTCAAATATCCCCAAAAGGCCTTTTCCGCCACATATTGGGGCAAGTAATACTGTGCCAACGACTCATGAACACGACGGAGCTTGGAGGTCTGTAAAGGAAAGTCCTCCTTGCACTTTTGCCAACATTGAAAAGCTGATGCTCGGTTGAAGTTGCTCCCTAAGGAGTCCACGAGTCGATCTCGAAGCTCCACGGCACCTGGCAAAGCTGGAAAGTCCAAGCCATTGACCTCTATGATTAAAGGCGTTTGGGGGAACTGTTCGGGCAAGTGCAAAATAAATCGCAATTCCTCCGCCAAACGGATTTGTGCTCCCATCCTGGAGCGGGTTGCAAATTCGCCCATCAGCTCTGAATGCAGTTGAACGATTAAAGAAGGCCCATCACCCATCTGTGCGTCTGAAATGGCCTCAGGCAAATGCTCGACAACTCCTTGTAGCAGCGACTCGATGAGGTTGAACGCAGCCGACCACATCTCTTCGCCCAAGTCCATGGCGTTGATCCACCGTAACCATTGCTCTTCCCAGGATATCTGGGTGGCTGGAGACATTTGCGCTCTTTCCGCGGTGCTTTCCGGACGTGCACATGCTGCAGCTTCTCGTACGACGGCAGCTCCGAGGGCGCCAAAAGCATCAAGCTGCTCTTGCAGGAGCTCCTGTCCGGGCCTTTTCTTTTTGTACTCCTTAGGTGAAGACGATGTCGGCCACAAGTTGCAGCATGGCCAGCAAGACTGCCCCATTCCTTTGGCTGATGCGCAGCGCCAAGAGTGCCATGGCCCCATGGTGGTTAGATATATTTAAAGAGTTGTATAGTGTGCAGCTGTTACAGTACATTGTTGGGGTGACACCACAAGTTTGTACAAACAAGAAACACAGAAGGTCAAATGAATGAATGGGTTGAGCTTGGCGAATGGTGACCGAGTGACCAGGATGGGCAGGTTTGGCAGCTGCGTTCGCAGAGCCAACTTGCTGAGAAGGGCTTTTGCTGCGGGCACTATTGCTCCAAAAAGCAGGGACCAAGATTCTCTGGTCAACCTCTAACCCTATAAACCTTTCCATGACATGACCTTGCTTTTAATTGCGGCCGTGACTCACAGCCCATTTCCATCATATTCGGCACTCGTTCAGAATACAACACTCGAGAGATCTCGCTTGTTCAGCATG